CCATCTGCCTAACCCCAGTCCTTGGGAATGACTCCAGAGGAGGACAAAAAAGGCCAAATCCAGCCTGAACATCTGGCTGACTGAGCGACCAGCCAATAATAATAATAATAATAATAATAATAATAATAATAATAATAAAATATTATTATTATTATTATTATTAATATATTATTATTATTATTATTATTATTATATTATTATTATTATTATTATATTATTTGGCTACTCTCAAGAGATTAAAAGTAGATGGGAAAATGGCCTTGAGAAACAAGGGAAAGAGATTATGCGTTGCAAGATTGCAAGAATGAGGTCAGCCTTCTCAGACAGAACAGGCAGGAAACTCAACCGGAGAAGCTAATTCTGCTTTATCGTTAAGGCTACCTTAACAGAACCTTGCACAAGGTGTCTGAAAGCACAAATCTCCCAACTTTCTCTTTTTATAACCTGAGAAGTTAGGGAGGGTCCCTTCCGAGCTTTTTTTTCCCTCTCCACCCATTATGCAGCTGAGGGCTATGCTGTCTCTTATCTGGCTATTCCTGGTCAGCATCTTTCCCTCCCGTCCGTCTCCCAAAGCCGTTCCCACATACCATTATGAGCGATCAGCAAAAGAAAAAAAAAAGGACTACATTTAAACTCAGCTGAAACGATGCAAGTGACGCTTTAAGGAGATGCAAATCAGTCTTGTACAATTCATTAGTCGTGCTCATTAGAAACCCAACGGAGCTTTGTACAGTCAAATGAAGCAGGAAACCCATCCCAGCGGCTCCATGTTGGTGTCTACCGTGTGTCCTGACTCGCAACACAAACATAGGAACCCTGCTAAAAGAAAAGAGGAGAACGCAGAGTATCGCACGCAACCCAGATGTTCTCCCAATTTCACAATTTTTTTAAAAAAAAAACATGAAACGAGGGAGCCTGACATAGTAGCAGTAATAAAAGAATAACAGAAACGTTGGCGAGGATGAAACCGAGCCAAGCGAGTTGTTGAAAATGAAGCAACACAACAGGTCACCTTAAGTTTCGAAAAGAGCCACCGAACCATCTGAGATGAATTTACAAGAGACATGCAGACTCGGAGTGTAAATTACTTTGCGCTATTTAGGATTCCAGGGCTGAATAAATTCTCTAATCGCGCCAGCTTAATTGGATGAGAAGATTGCATCACAGCTGTCTGTCACGGACAGCCAGATTGGCATGTGCTGACACAGCAAAAAAAAAAAAAAAATCTGGTGTTCCGGGATCATTTTGTGATCCTTGCACGGTAGACGCCTAGAAAAGAAGTTGGCATACTGAGCAAGGGTTTCTCTGCCCAGTTGCTGGTGGCGTGGCCATGGAGGGCGTGGCCTAGTCGGCCTCCTGCACTGGGGGGGCGTTTTTGCCCTCCCCAGGCTCCAGAGGCTTTCCTCGAGCCTCCTGGAGGGAAAAAATGGCCTCCCCAGGCTCCGGAGGCCCTCTGGAGGCCAGAAAGGGTCCCATTTCCCAAACTTCCGGTAGGCCCATTTTTCGCCCTCCTCGAGCCTCTGTGCACACTCTGCACTTACAGGACTGCATTCTGCCACCGTTTTCCTCCCACCGACCGACACGCTCCCACAGAGAGGGCCTCCTCAGGGTGCCGTCAGCCAAACAATGTCGATTGGCGACCCCCAGGGGGAGAGCCTTCTCTGTGGGGGCTCCTGCCCTATGGAATGAATTGCCCCCGGACGTACGAAGGATCCCCGACCTCCGCGCCTTCTGTCGTGCAGTGAAGACTCTGTTATTCCAGCAAGCCGGTCTGACGGGATAAATGATTTTAAATTGGGTTTTAAAATGTTTATGGAGTTATTTCCAAAATTATTTCCTGTGCATAAAATTGTGAAGCGCGTGTGAGAATCCTAATCTATGTTTTTAATCAAGACCATCAGTACTGAACCAAAAATTCTCTTGTGTCCAAAAAACGATTCCCCAAAATTAAGCTATGATCTTCTGGATTAGGGTGCAAGAAAACTTGGAGAATCCTAGGACAGATTCTAACCCCCTCATCCAAGCAGGAAATCCTACACCATTTCCGACAGATGGCAGTCCAGTCTCTTCTTGAAAGCTTCCAGTGATGATAATCCAACATAATCGGGAAGCCATCATTGGTTAGCATGGAGCACTTGAACTGTGTTTAAACCGTGAGCTTCAGAAGTTCCTTGTCACGTCAGCAGAGGGCAATCAAGGACCATCTAGACTGACCATTGTCATAGAGAAGGAATCCCAACTATGCTCAATCTTTTAACCAACCCAAGAGTTGTGCTGCGCTTCTCAACAACATCAAACCAGTTGTGACGGTTTCAGAACAACTCTGGGGAGAGACTCATCCTGGAGACCTTGATATTGGTCAAGGAAAAGAAACGTTGGTTGTCAAAATAGAACAAAATAGAAAGAAGGCTGGTCAACGAAACAAGGTGGGAAAGCACCCAAAAGAAGGACAATGGCTTTGAGATGGAGATAGGGTATAGCAGATCTGATTGATCTCGTCTATCAGGGATTACTTGGGGAGCCACTGGTTGGCTCGCTTCTTCTGCTGTTGCTTCTGTTCTCCACAAGCAGACAGTTGGGTGGTTGGGTGTCCTTCAGCTTCTCTAACTGGAAATGGAGGCTGGCCTAACTTGAAGGTCTCCTTGTTCAGGACTTGAGGTAAAATTGGAGGTTCTCTGCAATATTGGTCCACTGAGAATAGATGTTCCTTCTCCTTTGTGGTCAAGGAACCATGCTTGGTTCCAGATGTGCCTTCTGAAACTGGTCTCTCAATGGCTGAACACTCAGAGGACCACTCTTTCCTTTGGTGGCTCTCTTTTAGATCTTCTTGGACCACGTTCCCCTGTTCAGCAGAGGGCAGAGAGTCTTGATCACGTCCTTTCTGAGATGCTACCTCTGGAACCAATTCTGCGGTCAATTTGCTCGGTCCAGAGGGAAGGACAGAAGTTAGTTTTTGTTGCTGCTGTTCTGTTGACATTTTTCGAGTTCTCAGTTCGTTCAGGAAGAAGCGTCTGGAGATAGAGGAATATATACTAAGTTTAAAAAATAATTTCAACAGGAAAGCAAAGAGAGAGGAAAAAAACAGATTTAATTGCAGCGCAAATTTGGAGGGAGCAGAAGAGAAGGAAGGAGGATAGAGGGAAGTAAGGATGGATGAATGGCTAGATGGATCGGAGGAAGGAAGGAAATTACATTTTAATCACTTTGAAAATTTGTAGGGAGAAAGAAGGGAGGGAGGGAGGGAGGGAGGGAGGAAAATTCACTTTTAATCACATTGAAAATTTGTAGGGGGAAGGAGAAAAGGAAGGAAAGGAGGGAGGGAAGGAGGGAGGGAGGGAGGGAGGGAAAGAAAGAAAGAAGGAAGGAAGGAGAAGGAAGGAAGGAAGGAAGGAAGGAAGGAAGGAAGGAAGGAAGAAGGAAAATTCATTTTAAATCACATTGAAAATTTGTAAGGGGCAGAAGAGAAAGAAGGAAAAGAGGGAGGGAGGGAGGGAGGGAGGGAGGGAGGAAAGAAAGAAAGAAGGAAGGAAGGAAGGAAGGAAGGAAAGGAAGGAAAGGAAGGAAGGAAAATTCATTTTTAATCACATTGAAAATTTGTAAGGGGCAGAAGAGAAAGAAGGAAAGAAGGAAGGAAAGGAAGGAAGAAAGAAGGAAGGAAGGAAGAAAATTCACTTTTAATCACATTGAAAATTTGTAAAGGGGCAGAAGAGAAAGAAAGAAGGGAGGGGAGGGAGGGAAGAAAAAAGAAGGAAGGAAGGAAGGAAGGAAGGAAGGAAGGAAGGAAGGAAGGAAGGAAGGAAGGAAGGAAGGAAAATTCATTTTTAATCACATTGAAAATTTGTAAGGGGCAGAAGAGAAAGAAGGAAAGAAGGAAGGAAGGAAAAGGAAAGGAAGGAAGGAAGGAAGAAAATTCACTTTTAATCACATTGAAAATTTGTACGGGGGCAGAAGAGAAAGAAAGAAAGGAGGGAGGGAGGGAGGGAGGAGGGAGGGGAGGGAGGAGAGAAAGAAAGAAGGAAGGAAGGAAGGAAGGAAGGAAGGAAGGAAAAACTCATTGGTACACACATATCAGCAGACTTTTTACAAAATTCCCAAACATGTATATATTTGCCTGTGCCTACGTGTGAATAAGTGTGCGTGTGTGTTTGTGTAAGAAACAGATAACACACATCCTTCCTCTTCCTCTTAGATTTTCTTCCCTCTTTCTCCGTCTCCCCCGCCTGCTTTTCCATCCACCTTTTCCTGGCTGAATCAGGCTGGTGATGTCACCTCTCAGGTGCTGAAACTTGGCTACACGTGACATCCTAGGCTTTGTAAACAGCCCGTGTTACTTGTTGGTTTATTTCTCTCTCTCTTTCCCTCTAAACAAGGCTGCCGGGAGGGTGAGCGGAAGCAAGGAAATGAATCATTGGGGTTTTTTGGCTTCCTCCTTATGGGTCACGTGAAGGGACTTTAATTCTCCTGGAAAAAATTTCCTTTTCCACCCTCTGTGACTGGATGCTTTTCCTGCTACAGAGACTGGGGGGAAACCTCCGTAGAGTTGGGAGGGAAGGGAAGGGAAAAAGAGGGGAGAAGAATCAAATAATTGAGAGAAGAGAGAGCTAAGTTACTCAACGGGCATTAACTAAACTTGGGGGTAGATAGTTAAGCATGAAGGGATGCGGTGGCTCAGTGGTTATGACGCTGAGCTTGTCAATTGAAAGGGTCAGCAGTTCAGCGGTTCGAATCCCGAGTGCCGCGCCACGGGGTGAGCTCCCGTGACTTGTCCCAGCTTCTGCCAACCTAGCAGTTCGAAAGCAGGTAAAAAATGCAAGTACAAAAATAGGGACCACCTTTGGTGGGAAGGTAATAACAGCGTTTTCCGTGCGCCTTTGGCATTGAGTCATGCCGGCCACATGACCACGGAGACGTCTTCGGACAGCACTGGCTCCTCGGCTTTGAAACGGAGATGAGCACTGCCCCCTAGAGTCAGGAACGACTAGCGCGGATGTGCGAGGGGAACTTTTATCTTTACCTTAGCTAAGCTAAGCCTAGGGTTTATTTATTTATTTGTTTTCCTGATTTTTAACTCTAACCCATATCTGAGAGATCTCTTCGTGGTCTCCCATCCTGTTCCTCTAGGAGGTTGGTCCCTGTTTGGGTTTTTAAACCCAGTCCAAACCCATCAGGTGTTGTCATCCTGGAAACCCAAAAAAAAAAAGAAAGAAAGGAATTTTGTAATATGAAAAAAAAAACTTTTTAAATTTTAAATTAATTTTTTTAACTTAAAAAATCAGGGCTCCTCAGATGGAATTCACCCGACCCATCGTAAAATTAGTCCGAGTTACTTACGGATAATGTCGCCGCGATGTGGGTCGTGTTCTCCGCAAAGTTGCTCAAACGCTTCTGGAGGAGGGAGTGAATGCCCCCCCCTTTTTAAAATACAGGATTGTGGGGGGGGGGGCTGTTCCCACATGCCAAGAGTCCTCTCCTTTCTTAGCAATCTTTGCAACTTGGCCAGCTCACTCAAATTGCTCATTTGGGACATTCCAGGGGTTGAAACCACTTCGCTGTGCCCCTTTGAACATTTCCCTCTTCTGCCCTTTCCAAAAATAATAATAATAATGTCAGACTCTTGTTAAAAACAACCGAAGACATTTTTCAAATTCTCGGCAGCTTCCAAAGTGTCTTGAAATAAGGTGGAGCTGAAGAGTCTAAAAATAAGAGGCTCGCCTCAAGGTGGAAACGGAAGATAAATTCCTTGTGAATCTTTTGACGCATGGATGGATGGATGGATGGATGGAAAAACAGGCAGATGGGTAGATGGATGGACAGACATGGATGGACGGATGAATAAGGATAGATAGAAAGATGCATGGATGGATGAATAGATGAATGGACTGATACAATGGTACATTAAGGATAAATTGAATTATTATACTAGCTAGATTTACTCAAAAGAGAGAGGTAAGAAAAGTTGGGCCCTGTCCCTTCAATTTTCATGATTCCTTCCTTCCTTCCTTCCTTCCTTCCTTCCTTCCTTCCTTCCTTCCTTCCTTCTTTCCTTCCTTCCTGACTCTCTTTATTCCTTCCTTCCCTCCCTCTCTCTATTCCTTCCTTCCCTCCCTCTGTCTTTATTCCTTCCTTCCCGTCCTCCCTCCCTCTCTCTATTCCTTCCTTCCCTCTCTTTCTCTAGTCCTTTCTTCCTCCCTCTCTCTATTCCTTCCTTCCCTCCCTCCATGACTCTCTTATTCCTTCCTTCCATCCCTCCCTCTCTTTATTCCTTCCTTCCTATCCTCCCTCCCTCTAGTCCTTTCTTCCTCCCTCCCTCCCTCTAGTCCTTTCTTCCTCCCTCCCTCTAGTCTTTCCTTCCTTCCTTCCTTCCTTCCTTCCTTCCTTCCTTCCTTCCTTCTTTCCAACTTCAAGCCTCAACAGAAGGTCCCCATCAAAGTATCAGCCCGTTAAGTTGCACATGGCAAACTCCTCCAAACGTCTCCACTAATTCTCTGACTGTGGTGGGACCTGTCAATCTTTAAAGTCTGGATCTTCCAACAGGAGAGTTATGACCTGCTCTTTGATCTTAGCTTAGTCTTTTCCCGGGCCTAATTCTGGAATTCTGCTTTTTCAACGCACAGGGGGTTGTCTTTGAGAACTGAAATATGGGTCTGGGGTGCCAGTATCGGAAACCCACCCACTTCCATCCCGTCTGCTTCTACCCATCCAGGTGCCAACACTTTCAGCTCTCATGGCAGAACTAGGCTACTCTAATCAACAAACCACCATTGTTTAGCATGCTGGGGGGATATCACAGCTCTGGAGAAGGAGACAAACAAGCTTTGTGTCACTTCCCCACGACTGAAGTCAATTCATTTTTCTTTTCTTTTTTTGTGTGTGTGTTTGGGTGTATGTGGTTCCTTCTTTGAAAGGAATTGGCAGCTGAGCTTTTGAAAAATGATCCCTGGGAGATGGAATGCAGGGCTGTTCCTTGAACACATTAGGAACAAATGAAGACAAGGTGAGAAAGGGTGGAGAAGGAGAGGACAATAACCCATCATTAGCCATCCAGGCTGAGTCCTCTCCCTTGTAAAGCTGGTTACGCAGGTTCTGATGTATATAAGGAAATGCATTCCAGGGAACTGGGACGGTTCCTTCTCAGATGACAGAGTTGAGGTCGGTGCTGAAGGCACCAGCCAACCACAGGTCAAAAAGATCTCCTTAACAGTAAGGTGGGCACCCAAATATACGTCTATGGAGTTTCTCAGTCAATCAGGTTGTAGTTGTCCCAAAGGTGCAAAATGCAACTGGTCTTTGTTTTTCCTTGAAGATGTTTTGCTTCTCATCCAAGAAGCTTCTTCAGCTCTGACTGGATGGTGGGGAACGGCCTTCAAAGAAAAACCAAGGAAGTCCAGTTGCCTCTAGGAAAAGGACCTTTGGGACAACCAGGACCTGGATGACTGAGAATCTCCATAGACATCCAAGAAACTTCTGGATGAACAGTTCAGTTCTTCAGTCAGAACTGAAGAAGCTTCCTGGATGAGAAGCGAAATGTCTTTAAGGAAAACTGAAGTCCAGTTGTCTTTTGAAAAAGCACTTTTGGGACACCCAAACAGACATTCGACTGATAAAACCACGATTCGTTGGGAAGCTGGTGAAATTTCTCCCAGGCTCCCCTTTCAACCACAAAGCTCAGATCTCCAGCCAAAAATCCTGAGATTCCTCTCACCAGCTAGGATTCAGAAGGTCTTCATGTAGAGGTTCCTCTAGTCAGCTGGTTTCTCCTCCTGCCCAGATTAGGTCATTGTTCTTCCCATGTTCAGTTCATCTGATGTTCATTACTCCATCTTGTGACTCCTTATCTCATCTTTTAATTACAAGATGATGCAAAGAATTCCTCATCTCCCTTTCATTTTCCTCCTCCCCACCCAACTCATTGAATAGGATAATATTTGGGCACTGTCTACCACCGTTTATCTTGACCTGGCATGCTAAACTGGGTTAGGGAAGGGTTAGGAGGTTGGACAAATGCCATAAACGTAACCCCATTGTTGGCACGTGAGAAGGATCATTTTAGCTTCCAACAGCCAACCTAAGAGTGGTTTGGAGTTACACTAAGGTCCCTGTGAGCTTAGGGTCTCTGGACCATGGAAGAGAGGATTAAAAGAAGGTTAAGCCTAGAGATGGGACACGGTGGCTCAGTGGCTAAGACCCTGAGCTTGTCGTTCGAAAGGTCGGCAGTTCAGCGGTTCGAATCCCTAGTGCCGAGTAACGGAGTGAGCTCCCATTACTTGCCCCAGCTTCTGCCAACCTAGTAGTTCGAAAGCAGGTAAAAAATGCAAGTAGAAAAATAGGAACCACCTTTGGTGGGAAGGTAAGAGCGTTCCATGCGCCTTCAGCATTGAGTCTTGCCAGCCATATGACCATGGAGACGTCTTTGGACAGCACTGGCTCCTCAGCTTTGAAATGGAGATGAGCACCGCCCCCTAGAGTCGGGAACAACTAGCACATATGTGCGAGGGGAACCTTTACTTTTTAACCCTAGAGAATTAAAAAAAAAACCACATCTCAAAAACCATATGTGATTTGCTGAAAAACCAAACTTTCTAAAAAGTGTGAGGAACTGCTTCCCAGAGTGAGCTATCTTTCCTTCTCATTATGGACACCCAATGTTGGTTACGTTATCAGTCATGCTGTCTCTTTAAGAATCAATGACAATTTCTTCTTGGTTGCTTCAGTTCAAGAACTAATCAATCAGACTGAGTCAACCTGATTATCAAGGATTTCATTTCCGCCACTCTCCCAGTCAGCCACCAGAACAAAACTGGGGGCGAACCTCTGTTGGGGTTGCAGCTGTCCTTCTGACTATATTCTGACTCCTCTTTAATTACCTCCTGATTAGAAGAATCAGAAGAGTCAGAGAAGAAGAGAAAGAGATTCTAAAACAGGACAATCTGGATTAACATAACTTTGGAAAGCTTTTGGGTGGGGTGGGGATCTCCAATACCAATCTGTTTGTACTCACCTCCATCATTACATCCTACAAAAGATGAACCACAAAACAGTCACCATGACAGAATGCCTAGTGGTGCCTTCTTTTGAGATTTGGGGGTGGGTGGGGGCTCTCTAGGATTTCATCTTGATTTCTGGAGTTGTTAGCGAATGCCACAATCAGTTCTTTTCATTCCATTCAATTCGGAAGTTGTGGGAGCGTCATTGCTTGAGACTTTCAAGAAGAGATTGGACTGCCATTTGTCAGAAATGGTGTAGGGTCTCCTGATTTGGGTGGGGGGTTGGACTAGATGACCTACAAGATCCCTTCCAACTCTGTTAATCGGTATCTGTTGCTTTCCTTCATGTCAGAGATAGACAACCTACAAGTCACCAAGGAAGAACAAAATGGAAATCTAAGAGCCCTCATTTGTATCTTCTCAGTTGGGTCAACTTCAGAGGACCAACAGCCCTTGCTAAGGATTCTCAAATTAAGAATGTCATTTCTCGGGATGCTATGATTTTGAGGTGCCCACATTCACAGCAACTTCAAAAGCAGCTCAATTCAACCACCTCAAAGGAGGATCAAGTCAGGATCTGGTTCTGTGGTTGCCAGAAGGTCAGATCACATAAGTGGCTCGCCTTCTGTGACGCAACCCAACTGCAATCCTATAGGATGGTTGAGAACATTAAACGTGATGTGGAAACATCAGGGTTCACCTCCTTGGGAGTAAGCCTTACGTAAGTCTGATTAAAGGGCATCGCTTCTGTCCAGGATGCCAAAATGACTAGGGAAAGTGAGAAGTGAAAATTAAAATGTTATGTTCATTAATTAAAAATATATATTAGTTGCAGGGTTCCTGACATCTTTTTGAAGGCGGTTTCTATTAGGGAAACATTTTCACCATTTAGGAAGCTGAGGTGACTGTATTTTACAAGTTGGATGAGTAAAAAGGCCCAAAGATTAGCTCACAGGCCAGTTCTCTTTATCAGAAGACAAAGTCATGCCCCATCTTTTTTTCTTTTCCCAAGTTATCACAAGTTTTGGGGTGACCGTCTCAAGGTACTGATGGAATAACAGAGAGGTTTACTCATGAAGGGGTCTAGAAGGGCATTCTATCATGGATCCTGAAGGTGAAGATCAGGATATCTAGATGATAGATAAAGTTCTTCAACACTAGCTAATTCTATTCCTAGTGTCAACTCGCAAAGCATCTCTGGCCTGCTCTCGAGTTGCCATAGGCCAGTGGGGGATGGGGAATTGGCAAAATTGCACAGCAGCCAAAGTCAGATGCATATTCCATGCTTATCTCTCTCAAGGCTGTATCCCAGGTTTCCTACAGCAGCTGAAGGGGAGTGACCTCCACAAAATTGCTCCGTTGAATGTGATTGATGACACGTCCTGGGATGAGGGGGGAAACAGGGTCATAATTGGAGCGTAAATTATGTAGGGTCAGAGCTGGCTTCACTTGGAAACGTGCCAATATGAAGCTCCTAATAAATAACTGGATTTCTTTTGAAGCTTGGCTTGAGACTCGTGATTTAATTAGGGCATCTGTTGGAGGCCTGGACATGCCATGAGATAAGTTAAGACA